AACTGTGGGAAAAAGTGCAACCGAGTGATGCATCTCAGCCGGTCATTGAATAGCTCACCAAAAGGAGTCAAGCGTGATTCTGTTTTTACGACCATTAACCAAGTAACCTGGTGCAACGGTTTTGATCGCCATCTTTTAGCCACCCATTTGGATAGAAGAACAGAAAACTGGAATGTTCGGGGCAGAGTCAAGAGGAAGATAGAGAACCCATACAGTCTGGGTTTGCAAGAGTAATGAGTGGATTTACGAACTCCACTTTTGCAACATCCATCCATATCACTCAGTGTCTCTAACCCCCAGTTACCATGGTCTCGAGGTCTCCATCAGGGTTTTCATACCCTCATGCCAGGTTTCAGTTTGACCGAGCCTGACTATTTTCCATCCGTAACCTGCCTCCGTCAACGTCGCTCGCCGTGGCAACCCATTTGGTGAGATGCGCAGTACCTTTAGTTGTCCTAGACAGCTGTTAGCTTTGCTTGCCGATTACTTCTCCGGGAGAACTCAGTGTACCAGGTTAGGTCGGAGGAAATCCAAACCATTGTTGAACAATTCTGGAGAAATTCAAAGTGCAATTCTTTCCTCATACCTATTTTCTATTTGTCTGCTAGCGATTCCACTTCTCTCTTCAAATACGCCGGCGATGTGGTTTTGTGTCAGGCTCTCATTATTCTGCTCTTTCACAATTTTCTGACCAATTTTATAAAGTTCAGCGGTTTTCCGACACATCTGGTCTACCTCTTAATCCCTCCGTATGTTTTGAATGTCTCTTTACACTATCACGCTCTTCTCTCCCATCTGAACCGGTACCGATTGGCTCTGAACCAGTATCCCGGGTAAACTGTATTAAATACCTGAGTGCTTTTATTGATACTAATCGTTACTGGACCTCTCACATTCAACAGATCGTCAGTAAGCTTCATCAACGTTCTTTTCACATCCATAAACTCCGTCAGTTTCGTATTCAACAAGTGATTACTCCCATGTTCGTGCACCAGTGTGTTTTCCCGTTTGATTTTATTGTTCACCTGTTATGTTTTCCAATCTCCTAAAGAAAGAAAGAGAAATTGCTTCGACGTGGACCGACCATCACTAGCCGTGTATCTTCAATCCCGCTGGAGGAGTTGGTAACTAACCTGTGCGAGCGTCATTTGAATACACATGAAAAGTTGGCACACAAGATTCCTATCGACTGCACACATCCGCTGTACGCAGATCTAACTTCCTGTTGTTCCCTTCCTTCAACTAGATCCCAATATCGTTGTGTTCCCACTCGAATAAACATATACCGTAACTCTTCAGTACCCTCATTAGCACGCAGTATAGTCTACAAAGAAAATGTTTTCGCAGACTTTGTTAACAGTTTTGAGATTTAAATCTCTTTTTATTCATTATTATTTTTTATTTTCTCCCTCGATCAAACCGGTATATTTTTAATTGAAATGTAGGCTTAATTCTTACAGAAGTTATTACAATAGAATGTCCCAACCAGCGTAGTCCATGGAGATCCACCACTTGTTCCAGTGGATGGCAAGCGCGATTACAAAAAATGGACAAGTAAAGGATAATGCTGTGCAATGGAGAAAGCTATTGTAAGGAAGCTGTGATATCGAGACAACCGGTTCGGTTTGTTTTCTCTTCACGAAACCGTATCCCAAAGGTGTGTGTGTGTGTAATGAACGAACACTCTGAAGCATGGATTGGTGTGTACCACCAACTCTCCGCGATTTGACACAATTTCCGAACCCGGTTAATCTGGGTTCACGTTACCCCTATGAGAAAAGGTATATTTCACAGCCATGAAGCAAGCACTCACCCGTTAGAAACAGTACACTAAAAATGTGGCTAATATTGCTTCTGGGTGACTTTTACCTGCGTGCACATGAGACAACTTCACGGATTAATTCATGAATAATAAACGGAATGTGAAACAAAGTGCAAGAGCTGAAAATACTCCGGATTTTCTTTTCAGAGTGCACTCATGACCCTTCGCACAAACCAAATACCACCTGTAGGACAAAAAAATGACAACGGTAACTTTATTTGTTGACGGACCATATCAGAACTCATCACAGTGCTTCCTACCGATTGTTCAGCTTTTTTGTGGTCGACGGAACGTTTACCAAGCCAGAAGAAACTACCGCTGATCGCTCGTGCACGGTTCTTCAGAGAAACAACCGTCCATAAATTCACACAACCAGCCAGTCAAACGACCGTACTCGTTTCCCTGACCTGAAAACTGGCCTGGTAGAGTTCATCGCTGCTGCTCACAGACGAGGTAACACAGCACCTCCAGATACCACTAATCTCGCTGAAACAGTAATACCGATTGGCCCGGGTTTAGTGCTACCGGTTGAGAAACCGTCCGAATGAACGACAGACAATAGCCACCACCGCTACCACCAGGCTCAAGTGCTATCAAATGGAGAAGAGAGCGTTTCTGAAACCATTAACCACAAGAACACCACAATGTGAATCACTGAATATATTCGGAACTGTAGTTTAATCGACTGTACGCCTTGTTTGAATGCGTGGTGAATTCCACCGAACGCACTAGTCATATCAGACCGGACCGATTCGATAATCGACATTAGCAAACAATTGATTCATCAGTTATGCATAATTAAAAACAGTGAACGACGAATGCAAGTAGATCATGAATAATGACTTTTATAAACCACACTCATAGTTGTTCAATTGGTTGACGCCACAAACAACATTATCACAGTTCAAATCTTCCTTTAGAGAGTGAGAGGCATTTAGTGCTGTTTTA